GGGGGGGGGGGGAGTTCGTTTGATAATAAATACAAAAATTGCGAAGGCAACGTTTGAAAGGGAATAGTGCAGATTATAGAAGCAACAATGTCAAATCATCCTTTACAGCAAAACTGTCAATGGGGATCTTGAAAAAATCAACTTGGAGTACATTTTTTTCAGATATTGTTTAATATGAGTCTGTCGCGCTTATACGCAGATGCTTCCCAGACTAATACCGATTTTTTTATGTTTTAGAATTCTTGATAATATCTTTGCATTTAACAGTGTCGCCATGTTTACGTAAAATTTGTGGTTTCCTTGGCCATATAATGATGTGGCATCCTCAAGTGTATGCCCACAATATTTTGATATATTGCCATAGCAGTAGAGGGAGCATGTAGGTTTGTCAGAGGCAGCATTATCAATCATGTGATATAGCATGCTTGAACAGCTGTTTCCTAGTTAAAAATTGTTGCTATAACAATGAGACTGACTGTCTGTACGTTACATATCATGTAGCAATAATAGTGATATACCGTTTGAGAGAGTAAAATATATAACAAATTTTTCATTGTTATAAATGGTTTCTATATTAATGTCATCAACCGTCGTCCGTTTTGAAGGGCCTGGGAAAGAGGTTGAGTGTGTGTGTGTGTGTGGCGGGGGGGGGGGGGTGTCGAGGGTTTGTCGTTTGTAAGAACTGTTTCACGTCATAACATCGCGTGCTTGAACGTAATAATAATAACAGGTGTTGCAATGTTATATTGGAAAGTTGCCAATAACTATTTTGAGATTGGTTGTCTTGTGATAGTAAACAGCATGTGTCAGAGGTGTGTCGAGGGTTTGCAAGACAGGTTGTAAATCATGTGATATAAATTGATATAGCATGTCACCAGTGCTGTAGTTTCCCTTGACAAGTAAAATTCTCTGGTGTTATAGTAAAATAACAAAGTAGCTTTACAGATGATGCCCACTCTGTTCTGCACATCAGTTCTGCTCATAACAAGGGGGGACCCCCAGATATAAATATTGCCCAAATTTTGCATCTTTCGAACTTTTTTGAATTGAAACATAGAGTTTTTATTCATTTACAAGCATAGCAAACCAGAAAATTAAGTGTTAGTATATCATATTTTAAAAATATATAGCAGTTCAAAATGTAAACAAAGTTTGCGCTGCATGCGCACAGGAGTGGACATCATCTTTGATGGGTTAATGAAAACCCAAGCAACTATTTCAATAACTACGATTTTAGAATTTCAACCTTTGTACAACATAGTAAACTCTCTGTTTTCTTGAATGTATTAAGGAGTTTAACTTTTTTCAAATTAGTATCCACAAATTTTGCACGATGTTGTTTGCAAAGCTTCCCCGCTTGACCTGGTAAGGGCATGGGGAACCAGAGCAAAGGAGAACCCACACAAGTCATGAAGAATGGACGTACGTGTCCATCGATCCGCAGACAAATTGGCTGCACCGTCACAGAGGGAGCTAAATGATACAGTACGTGTCAGTTTGCCGTGCAGTCAAACCAGACGAACTATATGAGGATATTTCATATTGATAAATTATTGGAATGTCTGCCTTCAAGTACATGCTACTTCCCCCCCCCCCCCCCAAAAAAAAATACTGAATCATTGGATCTTGTATTATTTGAGCAAATGATATAAGTACAGTAGCTTAGCGACTATGCCATGAATGGCATATATACAAATCTAGCTTCATTTTGTCTGCAACTTTGTATAGACAGAACATACAATATAGAAAATGTCTTTTCCAATATTTGAAAACTTCTTATAGCAACCAAATGTAAACATATGCCATCAATATATTCAGGATTTTGCAATTTCCAAAATATGGACATACTACCAGAAGTTTCTTTTCTCAATCTGTGAGCTGAGTATGGAAATATCAGGTAGCAGCCATGTTAACCCATTGTTGTCAGGTAGCATGACCCATGACGTGGCAATGCACCCCGATGTTCCCTACTTTATCATTTTACTGTCTAATGCCAGACATATTATTCGTCAAGAGGAGAGTGTTGGTGCTAAATAGATGCTAAATAATCGACTGTAACTTACAGCAACTTCGCAGTTCATTGTATAACAATTTTACAGAACTATTCACGACACTAATTCCCAGAATTGCAATGCCACAAAATCATTAGCTTCATTCCCGAAAATACAATTCCAAGAAATTGTTCCAAGCACATAAATTATATTGTTTCTCTAACTATTGTGACAGACGATTTTACACTCTCTACTAACACCAAATAAGTTACATAACAACAGAAACTTATGTGACACACTAAGTCGAGTGCTTGGCTATAGGAAGGAACATAATTGTAGAATAACGAGAGCGCTCTTGGAGACCACATATTTCATTCATAAATTATACAATGGGCTAATTATGAATACAGTTTTCTCTGTCCAGCAAAACAAGACAAAGTTTTGCTTATCTCTTGTCCAATTGTCATCCAAATTCAACCAAAAAAGAATCAATTTGTCTTTGAGTAATGTCCATTTTAATAGCCCCACAATTTTTGCATTAATACATACATTTGATATTTCTAAGATAATTCTTGTGACAAACACAGACACACACATTGGCAGAACTTTCTCTTTGCTGGCTGGCATTTATAAATAGTAAAATACATAGTTATATAACAACAGAATATGAACTACATAGAGTAATGTGAGGTTATATAACATTTGGCTAGGAATAAAGAGAACATACTGGACGTACTTCAAACGCCAATTGATGTACTTTAGCATTTTACCAACAACATTAATACACCTACCATAGAAATCTAACCCACACCATTCTTCTGACCAGAAATGTTTGGAAACAGTAGAAAACACAGCACTCTTCCCCAGAAAAGAACCAGACTGATACACATTGAAAGTGAAATATGATAACCCACCCCTTGTCGGGTTGTATCATGAAATATAACCCCTGATACAACCCATGTGTGCCTAATTTCCTCCTTCCTAAATTTCATTTTCTTTTTAGAGATCAGTGTTAATTCCCAGACTATACGTCAACAGGAAATTTGTCAAAAAAAAGAGTGGATTTATCCAAATTTAGCATACAAACTCAAAACACAGGTCATATGTTTAGCATTTTTTGCAATGGCAGGAAATAAAACTTCATTTCTTAGTGTAATCAAATCCGTTTTTTGGCCCATAAAACAACTCCTTTTTGGTGTTCGTGGCTTGGCGTGGGTGAGGCGTACCGCATTAAAAAATGTTCGAGAAGTGAATGTATTTACAGAAAAACCCAGCTGGCTCAATACAATTCTAATGAATTGGCTTCGTTTTAATACATCTGCGTGAAAGACATATAAGTTCCTGTTCGCAAAGCGTGTCCAAAAATGGAAAGCTAACCTGTTTTTACAACACAAATATCTCTAATTTGTTTCCGTGTCTCGATTGCATCGCCAAAAAGCGAAATATTCACACAGACAAGGCATTTAGCCCTTATCGGCATTTGCCTTATCGGCCCACACATCTGCGAAACACTACTTCGCTTTGTATTTTGGCTACGCACAACGGCTATCAACATTATTGTAATGTACAATATATTACAATTCAAACTGGAATTCGAAAGCTTTTTTTGCTTTCGAGTCTTTATAGATAACAAGCACGTTTTCTCAAAGTTAAATACATAGAAAAATTCGCGGCATACTGCGTCATTCTCAGAAGGAGACAAAGCGATTCCCACAATGAATGGAACGTACATTCTCAACACAAAGGGACACGAAGCGCTTAGCACTAAAAACGCTTTCGATATCCAAAGTTTCCTCTTTCGTTTTTATAACAATATTTACATCCCGACAATTTCCTGACTACCAGGTAACGACCAAACTACCGACAAAGTATTTTTGTACTTCGACCTTTCAAGAGTTTCCCTTTCAGCAAGTATGAATCATCACAAAGACATTGATGCAAATTATAAAGATGTACGTGTAGTGTTTTCATGAATATTTCATAACTACACTATCTTTACTACGCAGTCAGGTATTAATATCGACAATTTCATGCATCGTAATAGTAAACACAAATTTGAACAAAGTTTGACGGACTTTTCTTGACTTTCGGTCTGTCTAAAACTGTTTAAAGTTCGAAAGAAATTAAGGAAATTTGAAAAACCTAACTTAAAACAATTACTATGGCTTCATCGCACGTGGTTATAGCCGGCCAAATATTTCAATTTTACTGTTTAAATACAATATATGCCTTTCTTGACCAAACCCTTATACTATTTTGATAAATTAAGAATACTTGTCACGAAATTCAAGCATTATTTGATGTGTAAACTGTTCTTCGCGAAAAACCCCGCCAAAATATTTCACATAGCCACTTGTGGCCGCCACGCTACACAAGCGCCACGACAACACAAAAGTTTAAACACAAATAACACAAAATTACCTCCACCATTTTTCTGAGCTAGATAAGGGAAACGCCAGACGTTTCCTAAACCAACAGCAAACCCAATCGTCGCCAAGACAAACTCGATATGTCTACCCCAATTCCCTCGTTCCTCATGGGTGTCGTGCCCGGCTTCGTCCGCATTTTCAAGATCGTACTTATCCCTGTCTTCACTAATGTCCATGTTTCAACAAATAATACGAGTTATTACTTCTTTATTAATTTTGTATAAATTCGGCTTAGTTTGGAACACACAGAATCGTCTGTTATCAGTTATATATAATCAGTTACCGTTAGTTGTCATACAAGACATACAACGTGGCATTACTCAAACGCAGGTCGTGTTACTAAATAACACAAAGCTGTAGTAAAGCTGATATAAACAACACATGTCACGTGACTATTTTAAGCGGGAATTTCAACAGGGGGTGGGAAGGTGGTGGGGTGGATATGGACCATTTAGAGGGACGAGGGTTCATCTCGTGGGGAGAGGGGTTTAGATATAGTTCTCGCTATTCCATTAAAATATACAAGATAAATTGCTCGATATTTAGTCTCGTGGGAGGGGGTTAGGTATAGTTCTCGCTATTCCATTAAAATATGCAAGATAAATTGCCCGATTATGACATTGTCATAAGTAAAGGGGAAAATGTGGTCCATCCATGCAAAGTTGTCTCCCCCCGTTTCACAGGCGAGCAATTTATATTGATAAGACAAGAAATAAGAAAGAGGAAGAGTGCAACGCCAAACCTAAATAAACTCGCATGATTTTTACATTTTTACTCCAAAAGGCCCCGATCGAAGGGAGGCCAGTACAGGTATTATAATATAAGTTATATAACCACCACATATTCCTATGCAACTGCGGTTTACAATCACACAGTTGCGCAAGTTCACGCAATATCAGCATATGAAGTATCAGCCATGCATAGCAAAACAACTACGCACTATGGCTCTTGAGCTTCCAGACCTCCAGTATCTCTGAGAAACTGAATCATATTGCGAAAAAATATCTCAGTGATATGGCTCTAGTTCTAATACTGAGCTAGTTTTAGGACGTTCAGTCTGACCAGGTAAGTTTTTTTATTGAACTCGGGGTGTTCGATCAGAGACGTTCCGTTCTTATTATACGTTAAGTTATTACGAGCGTAAATTCACATGTACGTGCTTTACATCAAGTATCACGCTTACCTAATTACATACTTAACTAGACTATTTTATCCGTGTACAACAATTGTACATGATATTACTTCTTACAAGTGTGTTTATCCTGACCTACCCTGTCAAATTTCCTTGTGGGAAGAAACTGGAGCACCCCGGAGAAAAGCCACGAGTTTCGACAAGGCGTTGACGGATTCATTTCACACGAGTCCTTAAAGCTCATTTCCACTGTTGCGTTTTTCATACGTACGTATACGAATGTAAAACTTTAAATCCGTTTAAATGTTACTTATGAAATAACCAAATAAATAAAGCAACAGAATTTAGTGTTCCGCAAGTTTTAGTATTTGTACAATATTTTAAAAATAGAAGGATTCAAAGTTTTACGTGCGTGTACGTGCGTGCGAAAAACGCAACAGTGGAAACATCGAAACCCACAATGATCATTATGATGATAAACAGGTCCATTCCGATCGATATGTCATTGGGGGGGATGAGAGCGAAACTTTGGGCCCCTTCGGTGTGTCGTTAGGTTAGGGTTGGCTTTCGGGTTTGAGTTTGTCAACTTGCAAAGGGTGAAAGGGAAACAACTTAAACTTAACATGCCTTTCCAGGGTCAGCTCGGGTCAACAGGCTTTTCATTGCTGCCTTTGATCCCTTTGGCATGAGACAGCACTTTCCTTGCGATAGTAACTTCTAGTTTGAGTCTCTAATTTTGGAACAGGATCCTGTTAAATATTTTAGTGATAAGTCGTTAAAGATGACGTAAATCATTGGATTCGTTGAAACGGTATCTCGCACGTCGTTGAAGCGTTGAACGGCCGGCGTGTACGTGGATCGCGTATACTCGAAGTCGCTGAGTTTTCCGTTTTCTCCTCGCGGAAATGTGCGCGAAGTCTAGTTCCGAGTCGCTCTCGTCTCCATTTAATATTGCGTGGGAATTGGGAAATGTGTGCTCTCGCGCGTGACGCCTGTACACGTAGGCTGTGTCAGAGAGCCATTAATAGTAAGGTCTGTGACACAGCCTATTACACACTTAGAAACGCGAAAGTTGTTACAGATCCGCAAACAAGTTGTAAGACGGTTAATTGTTGTCAAGCCGATATCAGGATGTGTTCGCACTGCTTGTTCGGCATTTGCGTCAGATGTTGTCAGGTGCAATACTAAAATTTTGATCTAGACAAGTCTAGACAAAAATTTCATCACAGCTTGAAAGAGCATCACAACATTAGTAATATTCCGAAGTTTCGTTGCGAAATGTTGTAAAATGCGGATAATATAGCCCTGCGAAATTTGCAATTTTCAGTCATTTTGTATTACAAACGGGAAATTGATGCCCCAACACCCGATTGGGCTGTCAATTTCCCATGCATGCGTAATACAAAATGACTGAAAAACGGCAAATTTCGCAAGGCTATATTATCCGCATTTTACAACATTTCGCAACGAAACTTTGGAATATTACTAATTTTGTGATGCTCTTTCAAGCTGTGATGAAATTTTTGTCTAGATCAAAATTTTAGTTGTAAGGGGAAAGGTCCATTGAGTCTGGAACAAGTTGTTAATCTGTCCAGTGTTATCACGTTGTTACAAGGTTGATGACGGAAACAGACTGCATGTGAACACTAAGAAATTGGTTATTACACAGTTAATATTCTATTAACTGTGGTTATTAGTAAGGGGCGGACCATTAGAAATCCCGGGAGGGGGGGTGAAAATTCCCCCAAAAAAATTCGTGCAAAGGAAAATGCCTGAAAAAAAAATTCGTGCAGCCATTACGTCAGAGAAAAAAAATTCGTGCAAGCAAACAGCGAAGTAGAAATAGTCTTGAAAAAAAATTCGTGCAGAGGTTAAATGCATTAAAAAAAATTCCTGCAGAGACACGAGACTGAAAAAAAAATTCGTGCCGCAAAAATTTTATACCCCCCCTCCCGGGATTTCTAATGGTCCGCCCCTAACCTCTCTTCCTTCTGAGAGTTGCGGTAATGTCAGTGAATAATTACTAAGGTCACATGAACATGGCTGCCTCAAGTCTCATCCCTAAAACTCATTAGAAGATATGACATTTTGTGTGTGTGTTGGTGTTGTGTACTCAGGTGAATATGATGTTTCTGATGTTACACTGAGTGTGCATCCACACCGGGCAAGCTGAAAAGTTTGCCTGACAACGCCGGTGGGAATCGAACCCCCGACCTTTGGGACACTAGTCCAATGCTCTGCCAACTGAGCTACGAGGTCAAGTCGGTTCAAGGCAAACTTTTCAGCCTGCCCGGTGTAGATGTACACTCAGAGTAACATCACAAACATTATTAGAAGATGTGTGGGAAGCTATATCTTCAAAGTTACTAGAAGAAGGTATTTGCTTGATAGTATAACTAATTTAAAATTATAATGATTTGATTCGTAGGAATGTTAACAGATTTAAAAATAGGTACGCGACCGCGTACATGTATCTGCGCATTAAAGGTCCAGACACGCCGGACGCGATTCGACAACGCGACGCGATTTTTCGACTTTCACTGACCGATAACTTTGATCCAAGTTTAAATTTTCCAAATATTTAGAAGCGCTATAACATTTTAAGTTACTTGGTCTACATATG